ATAATAACGTCATACCGAGGCGTTCGTTCCGGTGCACTCCGACAGCATTTAGCACTACATCGAGATTAAGATTAAACTAACTTCTTTTGGGAACACCCACATACCTATGGAGTTGGCCAGATGTGTGTAAATTACTGTTCATGGTAATTTGAAAACAAATGCCGTTGTTGGACACACACAAACACACCGAACATACACACACACAGCGGAGCTGAGCAGAGCACATACACACACACATCATGCGCCTTTGTGACCGGACATTTCCTTCATACAACGAGTAATAGGGGGAATAATCGGGCCGTTCGATGTGTGTGTGTAAAACGTAGCAGCCTGCAGTGGGGAACACAGTGAAGGCGGTGTGTACGCGCTGGTTCTGCACTTCTCAGAGGCTGCCTCCTGATGCTGCAGCCATTTCATGAAGTGAAGGAGGTTTTACAAATAAAAAAAATAGCTCTACACCCCTGGTCGCAATGTCCTTAAAATGAAGTCCGAGTTCGAAATATATCTCAAATAATGTATGCACTGCCATTTCCCNTGCATCCAAAACATATTAACAACGTTTAAAACTAGGATATAGCCATTTCATGAAGTGAAGGAGGTTTTACAAATTAAAAAATAGCTCTACACCCCTGGTCGCAATGTCCTTAAAATGAAGTCCGAGTTCGAAATATATCTCAAATAATGTATGCACTGCCATTTCCCCACATAAACATAACAGTCTGCGATTAAACGGTTGTCTCCTGTGTGCTCCACTTCCTATTGGCGCACCGGTAACTTTCTCTGTGCACGAGAGGCTGAGACCTTATGCTAAACAATTCTAATTTATTTTGTATGTTTTGGATGAAATATTATGACTGGTATAGGTGCGAAAATTAAAAAATATATATTTATTTTTTTTATAAAATATTTTTAAATATTTATAATTCTGCAAATAAATATACTGCAGATAAACTCACAGCTATTTCGCGGCCCGGCAGTAACACCTCCGCGGCCCGGTACCGGTCCGCGGACCGGGGGTTGGGAACCCCTGGGCTAAAGCACGACTGATGTCAGATGATTGGCACGTGACGTCACACAACGTCGACTCGAGTCGTGACGTTCACCGCGACTTCACCGTTGAAAGTTTGATTCACGTGGAAAAACTTCAGCAAATAGCTTAAACAATTATACACGTTGTGTATTTGACAGATTCGGAAATATGTCACACAAGAGATGAATGAAATGCAAAGGATAAAGAGAAGTGCAGCAAACACAGAGACCTCTTTGGCATGACAGGTGAGTGCAAACTTGTGTAAACCTTAGCCGTTTTATGCTATTAAATGCTACATTCAGGTAGCTAACTATGTGCTACATTTGCAGGTAACCCCAGCTGTGTTACTTAGCATTTGACTAGCTTAGATGAATATGTTAAGCCAAAACGCAGCTGCTCGCAATCTGGAACTGATTGGTGTGCCAAATGGTAATTAAGGAAATTGATTTCAGCTGTAAGATTCTACACTTCAGATAATCACGTGACACTTACTGTCACAATTGCGAGGGAAACCATTTAAGAAACACGGTGGAGTTGCATTGTGCATTTTTCACCGAAAGGTTTAGCTGCATATTTATTTATTTTATAAAAAGTGGATCTCACCTGCGTTGCAGTTGTTTTTAATTGTTGTGGTATGGTTTCTTTTTCGCTTTATGAAATTGCTCTAAACTGTCAGGGATCTTTACTGCCCCCTGTGGCGGGAAGGCGAAAAACAGTTGGTGGCAAGTTTTATTAAACCAATTGTTTTGGTTTTGCTATAGAAAATACTGTAATGATGAAGACTGGTTGTTTGGCAAAGTAACTTTATGACCTTTTTAAGCCATTATTAGCTGTCATTAATGTGAAATGCAATTCATCCAATTTGTTATATCAGACAAATTAAAGTTATTCAAATAAAAGTATCAATGTACCCAGAGTTTTCAGAGCTGGCTGTATGCGCAGATCAATTTTCTGTTCGACCCCAGCCTGGAAAAAGAACAAGGATAATTTCAAAACTGAGTGCAGCGGATACATTGTCAGATGAATGGTTATTTAGGCAGTACATGAAAATATTTGTACATGCATGATGTTTTTTTCAATGGTTTTACAAGCATGACATTGTTTACAATAACCTATTTTTAATTTTCTGGATGAATCAAAATAAAATACAGGCAGAGGGATATGGGACTGGATACAGCTGATTGTATGTTTACATATTGTACATGAGCTTAAGTATACCAAAAGCACTATAATACAATAATCTATATGAAGTTCAAGCATGTAAACAGATATTTCACAAAAAATTCAAAGTCTGAAATGATTAACTGTGACCAACTTCAAAGTCATGAAATTAAATTCTGAAGGTGGTGTGGATTCAATCATTTAAAACATGAGTGTATGATTATTAAATGACTTGGCAGACAGGTTCAGTATTTGTCCTTTATCACACAAAAGACTGACAGATACTGAAGGAATTCTGCTTCACATGCAGATGCACAAAAGTGCGTCAAACAGTGCTTCCATCTATTACCTGTGGTGTAAGAAAATCCTCTGCACTGATCAGCACTTTGCAATATTGGAACAACAGAGCAGTATTACAAATCATATACTTTACTCTATCATAATTTAGTGCTTGGACAAATACTAAAACATAGATGTGAACCGTACCTCTTTCCAGAAGGGTTTGCCAATGTTGGTGTAGTCTTCGCTGACATCACATGCCACAATAACTCCATCATCGGGCAAAGTCAGTGCAATGCTTAGTGTGTTGTAACCTGTGTATACTCCTGCAATGAGAGGGCACAATGGATGATGACGGAAAGGACAAAATTAAGATTTTTGGAAAATTCTGTTTCTGTACAGGCAGTGTGATTACATGAACTCAAGTTTCTTTGTTGTGGTCATGAAATGACCTTTCTGCACAATATGCTTTTCTTTATGTAAATACATTTGAATTGGTTTACAGCTAATATAAATATAATTCTCTGCAGCAACCCAATTCCTCCTAGAAACTTGGCTTCTTGTGCGCATTAAAAAGGTACTTTACTGGAGTCTGAAGATGCTAAGGATTGTTGAATATCAATCCTGAGAGATGTATGCATTACAGAGACTAGGTGTGATGTTAAGTCTGAGGCCCTTACCAATCTCTAATGCTTTCTTGGTTTTAATAAGCTTTGCCATATTGGCCATGAACTGCGACTGCTCGCAGGCGACCATCATGATGTTCCAGGAGTGTTCCATTGTCCTCTGAAAGCAATAAGTAGTTGTGAAACATGATTTTATGATATAAGTGCTTAATTGTGACAGAACACATCTGTACTCAGTATACTGAGATGTGCTTACCAGTCTGAGTTTTTTCAGGGCTGGATGCTCTCTCATAGAGTTGTTGAGAACATACTGCATCAGTGGGTTGTCTTTTCCCTCACAGTGACTTTTGAAGATGCTCATTCTGGTAGATTTCCTTTTCCCTGAGGACAAACATGAAACAATTATAAGGATTTTAAGAGCATGATGTCGTTCAACTTACCATCCAGCTTATACATCTTTCAGGAAACTGAAGTCTGGTCCACTTAATGTACAGTAGTTATTTGATTTAGATAATAACTCAAGAATAAAACTTGAATGATCTCAGTGGGTTAATGCAATTATTGCACCAGCAGTCACAGATCCAGATTTGAAGACTGGAAATTGTAAAGCAGTAAGTATCTTTATCTTGGAGAACATAAAATGACTAACATTGGGGTGACTGTGTCTTTGTACCTACTCATTCAAAGGCTTTGCAGTTTAGTATTTAGCATTATTATCAGGGTCATTAGGGGCTGGAAAGTGAATGATGATAAGAGGGAGACTTTGTACTGGGTATTATTTGTAGAACTCAGTAAACCCTCTACATCAGGGGTTCCCAAACTTGTCAGCCCGCGACCCCCAAAATAACAGTGCCAGAGACTGGCAACCCCCTGTCGACGGG